ACGTGTCCATACTTTTACAGTACTGGTGGGTAGGAAGAGGCATGTGTATAATAACAAAGGGAAAGTTGTAATCTGTGAATGGAGGAAGGAAAGTAAATTTGCCTGCTCTGAGGTGCAGGAAGTATTGCTGTTTAAACTAATAGCAGGGAAAATCAACACAGTGAACACTGTTTTCTCTGTGTTGATGATAAGAGATGCTGGTACTCTTTCCTCCAACTTTACCCAGATTATTTGGGTTATCTGAGGTGATGCCAGTTGTTCAAGATAACATAGAGAATAAGTAGAGATGCAGTTTCGATGTTCTCAGAGCCAACCCTTACTCAGTATACATTCGTACCCTACCTCTCTTAAACCTACATATTTGTGCTTAATTGCTACTCTTCCCCAGTTATCCTTTCAATATCTAATCTTTCCAATATTCTGTACACACAGCTACACCAGAGTGAATCCTGGCACCATTACCCTGCTCATAGACAGTGAGTGGATGGCCTGAGAGCTTTGACTCCAAACCCAATGATCTTTCAGAATCACAAACTAACTCTGATGTGACTGTTGCAGAACACACGACATACTGTTAAGATGCCATGAAAACAGTTCTTGATGAGAGTAACTGGGTAGACAAACTATCAGTTAGTTTACTAGAAAACATCAGTATAATATGCATGCCTTGTCACCTTAAAAATTGGATTAAAATATTTATAGGAGGGTCATCCTTGATGTACCATGCACTGTTATATTTCATTTTTTATTTCTTTTTTTTCTTCATTTTCTCCTGCAATTCACTTTGCATGAGTACTAATCAACAGCTCTGACAGTGATCATCAGGAATTGTTTTATGTGCGTTCATCAAGACAGCGGGTTATGCTAACTACTGTCTCAAACTAAGTGTTAGGATGCTTAATGTGGAAAGTGGTCAGTGTCTAGCAGTCTCCGATATTGCAGGATTCACAAGGCAATCACTTGTAATTCCCAGTAAAACGGGCCAGACAGGCAGTAGTGAATGTGTATTCAGAATTTTTTTGTACCTGATTCTGCAGTGGTGGCTGTTTGCTCCAAGTTTATTTCTGCTATTTGAACTAATTGGAAACCATGTGAGGAAAAACATTTTAAACCCCCTAGAATCTATGCTTGGCTACACTAGGCTTTATTTTTACTTTTAATGTTTTAAGCTCTAGACATACTGGAGCCAGGAAATGTCCCACAGTTTAAACTATCTCTCTTTTTTTTTTCTCTTCATCTTTCTCTTCTCCCTGGCATCCTTTCATATTCCTTTCTGCTTCAGAAATGAAGAATATTCACCTGACAATATATTTCAGGGGGGTGGATGATTTCAATATGGGGTGAGGCTATTCTGTTCTTTCAAATTTCTCTTCTTAATCATCTAACAAGACATTTCAATTGATATATCACTGTACTTTTAACTTGTGCTTAGGAACGAAGAGCTGTGTACAAGATCTCTAAATTGCTTTGGTGAGTCCAGATTACAAGGAAGTCAATTACAGGCCAGCTGGCTGTGTGGACGCTACAGCTGTAAGATTCTGAGTTTAATCTTAAATTGCTACACTCCAAAAAATGGACTGAGTGGAACACTCCTGGAAAGCTTGTCCCTATTCATCTCTCTCTCTCTCTCTCTCTCTCTCTCTCTCTCTCTCTCTCTCTCTCTCTCTCTCTCTCTCATCCCATCCATTTATCTGAAAATTTCAAGATCAGACCTATTTTCTTATGGGTATCCCATCATACCCAGTGTTATCCTTTCACAGTTCAGACAATGAAGCTTGCTCTGGAACCATGAAGATTTTATTAGGTTTATCCTGGTATCATTATGTAATGCGATTGGAAGTGCTTATTGATGAATCTTATTTTCTGTTCTGTGATTTTATAGTCTGAGTTTATTAAGCATTCCTGGGATTCATCCTTCTGGAATTAATTAAAAAGACCCACGTCTTAAGCTGAACTATGGTAGAAATGTTCAGACAGTTTTGCGTGACTTATATACTTTGAGTCTTAGTTCCTGTGAAGAGTTGTTAACTTACAGTAGCCTATAATAATTGCTATTGTCACTGTCATCTTTAAGAGATTGGACGGACCATGTACTCATTGTCTCCAAAATGCATTAGCACATTCTAGCTTTTGGTGCTATGCTATCCACTATCAGTGCAACTGTTTTTAGCCAGAAAGTTCTATTTAGACTTTCTTTGTAATCTGTTTTCCTGGGATGGTAGAAGATCCTTTCCATATAGTATTCACATGAATAAGGAAAAAATTAAAAAAAAAAATTTCTCTCTATATTTTGAATTCATCTTATAAAGCATTTTTATAACCAATTTTTAACACTTGTAAATGGACTACAGAATGATTTTGAAATGTTTATTTGTTATAAAAGGACAATAAAGAGTTTCAGAGAATGTTCTGCAGTAGACATTTTAGTTCTCTGGGTTGAGCTGAGTTTTATGTTTTGATTTAAGTTTCAGGTAGTCTGTGTTAACAGCATAAACTTCTAGATGGATTCTTGCTTTGAGCCATATGTGTTTCAGGTCCATCTTCTCTCTATTTTTTGTTCCATTATTATTATTATTATTATTATTATTATTATTATTATTATTATTATTATTATTTTCCTGATATGCCATGGATTCAGCTTTAAAAACCATTACATAGCACCAGACCTCTGTGTGTTATAACCTCACAATATTTGATAGAGTTTGCTAATTCCCTGCTTATATATTCTTTCCTCTCACTAAACATTTAAACGCTACTAGGCCAAAAAGTCGCATGGCCCTTTATGAATTAACTAATCGCATTAGTAATTAACTGGTAGTTACCAATAATGAATAGGTGTTGCATTAAGGAGGGAATAAAAGGACTTCTCCTTGGAGTTATTTAACCAAGAATGAGTCCTGATTTGAACTTTTTACTTCATGCTCCCTGCCCTTGTCTTTTTTCTGTCTGCCTATCCTTCTATTTGTCTGTCTGTCTGTCTGTCTATTTAAATCTGAATCTGTGCCTGCCTGAAGGCCACTTTTGAATTTGTCCCTGGTTCTGTCCTTGCATGGCTATCTGCTGTGTGACTGTGTGTCTGTTCCAAGGAAAGGTCTTTGCTCTGTCTTATTATGTGGAAAGAGTAAGCTACTTTAGAAAATATTTTTAATAGAGTTTTGCAAGAAATTAAGTCACTGAGTACAAATGATCTCAACTGACATACACAACAAACATCACTACAAATATCACTACTTTTCAACCAATAGCCATAAATATTGTATTCAGCATTTACGATAGTTATTCATTTTAGAAGATTGCTTTCAACGTCTGTATTTGTTGCCTTCAGCAAATGATGTATATGCATTTATTTTTTTCTGGGTCGTGAGCATAGAAGGATACATGACTTCAAATTGAAACTACGCATTAACTTAGGTTGTAAAAGCTGATTATATGGAGAATTCAAGACAAGTTACAGTTTTCACGTAAGGCTTTTGTTCAAATGCATATCCATATCTTAAGATTTTGTGTTCCTGCCAACAACTCGTGTGTTTGTAAATTAAGCTAAGTATGGCACAAAGATACACACACACACACACACACACACACACACACACACACACAGTGTCCCAAAGCTTTTTTGATTTTTTTTATCCTTTAAATTTTAAATTACAAAACAAATGTGTACTGTTTTTGGTACGTAGGTAATATTTACAGTACTCCTTTATTTTCAAATTGTAAATCTAAAGATAACTCAAGAAACAGTTTCAAACATATCCTCTCTGCTGTGGATACAAGTTGTTCCAATCTCCCCACTGGTGAGAATTGAGGAACTTAGAGCCAGCCATGTCCTGTCATGTTAGCTTATTTTGTAGGGAAATCGAATCTGGCACCTTTCAATTAACTTCTTTCTGTCTCCATCTGAAAGCAGATGGAATGCAGTGTAGAAAAAGAGGGAATGGGTGTTATCCTTGTATTGTCTTGACAATCTTAATTATAACTTCTGTCTTTTCGAGATTTGCTGAAAACTCATTCTGTAAAGATAAGAAAGTGCTCTCACACTGGAAGATGGTCCTGTTGAAACAAAATTTATTCCATATTTGAGGTTGACAACACTAAGGCTAATCACAGTGGTCTATTTCAGTTATACCTAGAGGGCTCAGTAGAGGGGATAAGTGGAAATGTGTCTTTTATAGCTATTTGATCAGTCTCCTTGGCAATGAGTTTAAGTTATTCCACAGGAAAAATAGGTAAAAGAGATAGAAAAGAGGAATATTTGCCTTCATACTTGAGTTGTGTTTCATCCTGGTATCAGAAGAAAAAAATATGTGTGGTATGTATAATGATACTGGTCGTAGTCATGATGTACTGCTAACTAGCACAAAGGTAGGTAGTGGTGTGTGTGTGTGTGTGTGTGTGTGTGTGTGTGTGTGTGTGTGTTCACAGCAAAAAAAAAAAAAAAAAAAAAAAAAGAAAATGAAAAATGAGGAAGTAAGTAAATAATTGTTTTGGGGTGCCCTTATTCTCTTATTACCTTCTCCCCTTCCTTTACCATTTGTTCTCTAGAGTTCCCCATTAGGCACAAACAAGATTTTGTACTAGAATGTAAAAGTATATTTTGCAAGAGATGGAAACTTACAAATTTTCAGCTTTCTTACCATATCTAAAATATTACATAGTAACTGTGTTTAGGAATGCAACAGATTTTGGGGAGAATTTCTTAATAGGGATATATTTAAAATGGATTCGTTCCCATTTTGCATTTTTACAGTTGATAATTCAATAGGACTGCATGTCGTTTCTCTTAAAACTGTAATAGTCCAGAATCCTTCTGAAGATTTCATATTGCTATCCTTTATTTCTTAAACTTCTTTCACACTTAACTATTATCATTTAAAATGTCACCAACCTGACACCAAATACTTGGCCCCAGTCACAGTTTTGCTCCAGGAGTTAGTTGTTAGTTGTAGCAATACTTATTCCATTATACTTAACTGACTCTCGTATCTTCTTTTCTACAACAGATTGAAGACTCTGCTTACCTAAGGAATTCCTAGGCTGCTCTAAGTTGGCCTGACTTACTGTAGAAGAAGCAAGATTTGCCTGTCTGGCTGGACTTCTGTTGGCATCACTCTTGGCTTATGTGGAAAATTCTCCCTGTTGAGTTGTTTTGCACATGAAGGACCACTGTATGAGGGCGACATAGGCAGGCCAGACTAAAGACGTCAGAAAGATTGTTTTACCATCTGCCCTCAGGTCATTTCTTCTATCAGAAGTTCTGGACTTTGACGGAACCTGGTCTAGTCACTCTGATTTTGCTTTCGTTTTTCTTTATTATTTGCTGTTGCTTTATTTTTAATTTTTCCCCACCATCACATTGTATTTTATATCTGTCCCTCAGCAATGGGCCTACAGACTACAATGTGGCCCAGCCATGGGGCTTTTTTTCTAAAATTTTGGCTTATCACTTTCCTGGGGCTCTACTCACAAGTGTCGAAACTCCTGGCCTGCCCTAGTGTATGCCGTTGCGACAGGAACTTTGTCTACTGTAATGAGCGAAGCTTGACCTCAGTGCCTCTTGGGATCCCGGAGGGCGTAACCGTACTCTACCTCCACAACAACCAAATTAATAATGCTGGATTTCCTGCAGAGCTGCACAATGTACAGTCAGTGCACACGGTCTACCTTTATGGCAACCAACTGGATGAATTCCCCATGAACCTTCCTAAGAACGTCAGAGTCCTCCATTTGCAGGAAAACAACATTCAGACCATCTCTCGTGCTGCTCTCGCTCAGCTTCTGAAGCTGGAAGAACTACACCTAGATGACAACTCCATATCTACTGTGGGGGTAGAGGACGGGGCTTTCCGAGAGGCGATTAGCCTCAAACTGTTGTTTTTATCAAAGAATCACCTGAGCAGCGTGCCTGTTGGACTTCCTGTAGACTTGCAAGAGCTGAGAGTGGACGAAAACCGAATTGCAGTCATATCAGACATGGCCTTTCAGAACCTCACAAGCTTGGAGCGTCTGATTGTGGATGGGAATCTCCTGACTAACAAGGGCATTGCTGAGGGCACCTTCAGCCATCTCACCAAGCTCAAGGAATTTTCCATAGTCCGGAATTCGCTCTCCCATCCACCTCCTGACCTCCCAGGTACGCATCTGGTCAGACTCTACTTGCAGGATAACCAGATAAACCACATCCCATTGACAGCCTTCTCAAACCTCCGTAAGCTGGAAAGACTAGATATTTCCAACAATCAGCTACGAATGTTGACTCAAGGGGTCTTCGATCATCTCTCCAACCTGAAACAGCTCACTGCTCGGAATAATCCTTGGTTTTGTGACTGCAGTATTAAATGGGTCACAGAATGGCTCAAATATATCCCTTCTTCCCTTAATGTGCGTGGTTTCATGTGCCAAGGTCCTGAGCAAGTCCGGGGGATGGCTGTCAGGGAATTGAACATGAATCTTTTATCTTGTCCCACCACAACTCCTGGCCTTCCTATCTTCACCCCAGCTCCAAGTACAGTTTCTCCAACAACTCAGCCTCCTACTCTCTCTGTTCCAAGCCCCAGCAAAGGCCCTGTGCCTCCAACCCCTACCCCATCGAAACTTCCCACCATCCCTGACTGGGATGGAAGAGAAAGAGTGACCCCGCCCATTTCTGAAAGGATCCAACTTTCCATCCACTTCGTGAACGATACTTCGATTCAAGTCAGCTGGCTCTCTCTCTTTACTGTGATGGCATACAAACTGACATGGGTGAAAATGGGCCACAGTCTTGTAGGGGGCATAGTTCAGGAACGAATTGTCAGTGGTGAGAAGCAGCACCTGAGTTTGGTTAATTTAGAGCCCAGATCCACCTACCGGATTTGTTTAGTGCCGCTGGATGCATTCAACTACCGCACTGTGGAAGATACCATCTGTTCTGAGGCTACTACCCATGCCTCTTATTTGAACAATGGCAGCAACACTGCTTCCAGCCATGAGCAGACAACTACCCACAGCATGGGCTCCCCTTTCCTGCTCGCGGGCTTAATTGGGGGTGCAGTGATTTTTGTGCTCGTGGTTTTGCTCAGCGTTTTTTGTTGGCACATGCACAAAAAAGGACGATACACCTCCCAGAAATGGAAATATAACAGGGGCCGACGGAAAGACGACTACTGTGAGGCAGGCACCAAAAAAGACAACTCCATCCTGGAGATGACGGAAACCAGTTTCCAGATCGTCTCCTTAAATAACGATCAGCTTCTTAAAGGAGATTTCAGACTGCAGCCCATTTACACCCCAAATGGGGGCATTAATTACACAGACTGCCACATCCCCAACAACATGCGATACTGCAACAGCAGTGTGCCAGACCTGGAGCGCTGCCACACGTAACAGCCAGAGGTCCCACGTTAGAAAGGTGGACAACCAAGCTCTCAAGAACACACATATGTGTGCACATAGAGACTCACAGATTACATTTGATAAATGTTACCCAGATGCATTTGTGCATTTGCATACTCTGTAATTTATACGGTGTACTATATAATGGGATTTAAAAAAAAAGTGCTATCTTTTCTATTTCAAGTTAATTACAAACAGTTTTGTAACTCTTTGCTTTTTAAAATTAAAAAAAAAAAAACTGTTGCTGAAGTACTGTACTGGGTTGTACAATGAGGACCCAATGCCAAGGCAGAAGAAGGGGTGATTCATACTTAAGATACATATTAACCACTTTGCTGTTGAAGCTGTCAGAATAAATCCCTTCTCTAGAGCTGATAGGCATATGAAAGAATAGATTCAGATGGGCTCATCAGGGTAAGAGGGTTAGTTTGAGTAAAGAGAGAATGGCCTAGTTATTTCTATGTTTTCTATACCTCCTGGCCTAGAAGAAACACTGTTTGAAAAAAAAAAAGTCCATGATATAATAATAGAGGTAGTTATTCCAATTTGACCCAATGCAACATACAGAACACCATGAGGAAGCCAGTTCCCATGAGATAAGTTAGGCCTGCTTGACCAAATCAAAGAAACTGAGAGATTTGAAATGTCCTTAAAACCCCAGGGTTGGCTTTCTGACTGTGAACTTCAACATCACTCTTCATGCTTCCCTGGCCTTGTGTGAGAACAGAGTTGGAAACCTGAGTCTGATTCTAGTCATCTTCAGGGACCAATATGGTCAATTCTAGCAAGAAAATTCCCCTCAAAACTGTCAGTATTCAAATCACATGTCAGGTTGAATCATATCCAACAGAGTTATATTCTAGAATAATTTTTTAGAAGAGGCTAATAAAAATAATGGGAAGAATTATATTGAATGGAGTTATTTTTGATAATGAAAATTATTTGGGTAGATTCACTGAGGCTATATCAACATGGTATTTAGTTCAACAAAGAACAGTGTTTGGAATATTTTACAGTAATGTGTTTATTTAAAAAGTACTAATACCACTTAGAAAAAAATCCGTGATTCTCTTACACTGTGTCAGCTGACTTTGTTTGTATCATGTTGAAATAGCTCGAATTAATACCTATACCCCCTCTCAAATTCTTGTCTTCCAATCATCTTGCATACATTTTTTTGTGATTATGTTGTTTATACCACCTGTGTCCCCTCCCCTGTTTTATATTTCAAAGAAAATTATGGACACAAATCTTGGTTGCACAAAATATCCCTGTGCATTTATACGTAATAAATTACATATTAACATTCATTGCCAATGATTCTGTGAAGACACCAAAAGTGGCCAAAACAATGCATATTGTTAAAAAGCAATACTACGTTTCCATTTTTAATTAACTTTGATCCTTTTTCCACATTCAAAATTCCATTTGTTCCGTTTAGATTGTGGAGGTCCTTCTAATATGCTAATTATAGGGTGATAATCTTATGCTAAAAGACTACCGGTGAAAATGAATAAATCAGAGAAGGCAAGATTTTTTTTCTAGCCATAGCAGAGAAAGGTCAATAGCAGAAGGTAGAGGAAAGAGGGATGTCCATTATTGATGCTAGATATTTTTTGAATCAAGTCCATTTTCAGAAAACATGCATAATTTACCCTAATTCTTGTTGTCCCTTAGGTGTAGAAGGGCTATAGACCACATACATTGTCTAAAGAAATTTACCCTTGGGGAATCATTTTCAAAGCCACATTTAGGCATTTCATTCTGTGTTCCTTTACAGCCATCCATCACTTTAGTGACTCATGAAGTAAATGTCTCACTTTTCTTGCTTTCTATTTCTCTCTAAGCAAAATAAAACTGTGATTTGTCTTCTTGTAACAGTTTAGGTATAAAATGCTATGCAAGCTTTTCCTTATAGCAAGAGCTTTATTTTCTTTAATAATATACCATGACTTATATGTTTTAACCCCCTCATCACTCAGAATAAACAGAACATATAACTGCAGCGATAATGTTGTAGACAAAAGCATTGAAACTGTGCAGTCAGTAGAGCTGAACATAGTTATGAATTAATTTAATTAATTCTAAAGTGACTCGGGTTTCCTCTTTAATCTATTAGCTAGAGGGTTTGGGCTGTTGGTTTCTGTAAAAGTAGGTTCACACAGTGAAGGAATAAGACCATCTGGAATGATGATCAGTGTAGCATTGCATCATCTAAAATCAGGACAGTGACATGGGGCTCTGTGTATTAGCTGAATGTTTCCATTTCGTTGTCCTCTTGCATTTCACTATAGGTAAAACTGTGTGATGAAAAATATAATGGTACTTTGACTTTTGAGGACTTTTGTTGTGTTATAAAGAAGATAATCGTTCTTATCTGTTTGTATTGTATGTCTAACTCCCAGTGGGATTAGTGGCCGTGGAAATGTCTTTTCTTTGTCCCAGGAGGAAGAGCAGAGAGGTTCCCACAATATTTCATGGCATCCACAACACTACTGAGAGTTGAAGTGGTACTGTAGAGGCCTAGTCATGTAATATGATTATAATACTTTCAAATTTACTCCAGTAGAGTTGTTTCTGGAAAAAAATGAATCTTTATTTTGATCTTATGAGCAGCATGGCAAAGACGTCTACCATGAAAATCAGACTACCATCTGTAATAGTGTACTTGAAGGACTCCTACATCATAGTTAAGATCAAATCATATAATCTGTAGTAGCTCATGAAACTTAAAAAAAAATAGATGAGCATCAATCCTTACTGGATGCCAATTTGGCTGACATCTTTAATCAGGAAACTGTCCTGTAGTTATGTTTATTCTGTATTTGGTCCTCTCTCAGCCTCATCACTATTTATTTTGAGGTGATTAGTTACAAGTCAAAGGTGAGTTGATCCCTGATAGTGTCACCACCTGTCAGTAAAATAACTGTACCTACACAGAGGACATTGCAAAAGGAAAAGGAAAGCATTGCCACACAGACGTTATCAGTATTTAAAAGAAAGTAGTCACCTATTCCTCCTTGTTGTAGAGATGCAAACGACCCTAGGGAGACCCTGGGTTTCACTTAAATACTGTCACATGCCTTGTCTTGGCAGTTTAACACACTGGACAATCACAGCAACCATGAGAAGGGAGTTTCCCTGTTTATTTATAAATGGAAAAAGCATCCCTTGTGAGAAATAATGTTTTCTCTAATTTTTCAGATGGTTGCTGAAACAATATTAGACATTTTCTCTCAAGGGTAAAAAAACTATAATGTGATCTTTTAGAAAAAATCATGTATTAATGGCATCACTAATATTACACCTCTGTTTCTTAATAATGGAGGTCATAATGATCTTAGTCATGCCACACAGCCAGAACTTCCTTCTCCCCTAGAGAAAACATAGCTCTTGATATGAGGAGAGCATCTATTCCAAATACAAGGCACTGTTGTCTTTTTCAGAGACAGGTGCCACACTGGATCAACAAACCAGCTGCAACATCCCCTGTGGCTTTTGACAGTGAAGTGGTTAATTTTCATAGATGTCTTTGTTTATAGCGTTTATCTCTGACCTATCTAAAGGAGACATTAGATGTTGCTTTAGAACCTAAGGATAACAAATATGCTCATAATGCTCATAACTTGCTCTTCCCACTGAATGGGAAAGCAAAACAGAAGAGTGCCCAACCAGAAAATGATACACACATAAACAACTCTCAATTCTTAAATCTTGTCAAGCTTAGCTTCTTTTCTTTTTTTTATAAAGTTAAAGTAAGTAATGCTAGGAAGCTGTATCTATACCCTTCTCTGGTTTCGTCAGTGGGATTGAAGCAGTTGTTGGGAATGGGGATGCTTTTCACTGATTGTGGGGAAACCATTTTGTACACACTATGATACTGTTTTAGCAAAACAGGTTGTTTTGTTATAGTGTTTTGTTTTCTATCTACACATCTACCAGAAGAGCACAAACCAAGGCCATTGCAACAGGCATTTTAAAATTATTATAAAACATGCAAATCCATGCATATGTATACATGGGATGTTTGTGAAGGTGTCTGTGGGATGTGAGATTTGTAACCAGTTATGGCAACATGAGGCATCGCCACTGTATGTCCTCATAGGAAAATATTTACTGAACGTTAACTTTGATGATCTGTTACTGTTTGACTCATATGTTGATTTAATTCTGGTTTGTGTTCAGTGTGTTTTTCTGACAAGGGACTGCAAGGGGCTGGAAGATTCTATGTCATGCATCCTCTGAGACCTACCATGTTGCACACTTTGTTAACTTCAAACTTCACTCTACACTATACAGTACCTTGTTGATATATTCAGTAAAGGCTTATTTTAAAAGAAAACTCATTGTGTTTATCTAAGTAAGTTCACCTGACTATAACCAGTACTTCTGTAAGTGAAATGATTATGATGAAATTCTCCTCATACACCAAAGATGGCAGAAATGAAGCAAGTTATAAAGTGTTCATACCCTTCTCCTGAAAAAGCAACATCTATTTTTAAAGGCAGTGGTCTTTTTGTGTAAGAGAATAATGTGGTAGTCTAATATTCCTCCCTTTTCCCCAGCTGAAATATTTTCAGAAAATTATCCTATATACATAGTACCACAGAGAGCACAATATTCTGTGTTTGAGGAATACAAACAGACACATGTATCTAATATGTACACAATCACAGAAGTCTCTCTTTCACAAAATGCACTTGATTTGGAATGTTAACTTCAAGAATTTTTGTCCCTTTTATTCAAATATCAACTCAAAGAGCAACTGTACTCTTTGAAGGCTACTTAAGGTAGTGAGTGCATCTGCTCAAATAACTGATTTGATACTAGCATAGCCTTAAACGATTTTCCAGAACCCCTTTCTCTAGCATTCGACCATTTTACCACTGATGTATTTGACATGGGGTAAATGAATGAGGAAATAAAAATGATGACTTTTCATTTAACTAGCATTTCTAATTGTAGGACTCCAAATGGGTAGTGGACTGTGGAAGCCAGGGTTAATAGATAATTCATATTATATTGAGAAGACTTTACATATGATACTGTAATTGCTAATCTTGCTTATTTTTGATGGGTTACAGAGTCTACTGTAACTAGGCTCTCAGCCAATAAGACCCGTTCATTTAGTAGAATTTATTAAGGTCTTCATTCACTGGCTAGGCTCTAGGGTGATTTCAGAGACTTTAGAAGAATACAATGAAATCTTAGAAAAATCTAGCCCTCAAAATGAAATCTGTGTACCCAATGTATTTACACCTAACTTTTTTTTTTCTAACCTACTTTTTAATGGGACTGTTAAATTTTACAACTGTTAGTTTCAGAGAATAATATATAACCTATTTAGGAACTCAAAGATCACTTCCTAAACAATTATTCTAAGACATGTTAATGTATTCTACATCATTTCCCTATAGTAACAATATATCCACAGTAATAAAAGAGATATATCTACTGGTAAGGAAGTGAGATACTTTTTTCATATAGTGTCATACATTGTTGCAGTGATAGCATATTGATAATTAGGGACTTAGTTGGAATTAAGGTTTCAAATTCACAGTAAGGTAATGAAACTATATTTGCAAATTATACATGCAACCAGAAAATGAACAATCAAATTGAATAAACATAACTGAGAAGTGTGAACAATGCATGAGGATTAAGTGCACTCTTGCTCTCTCTTCTTCCCTACTCTCTCCCTCTCTCTCTTCCTCCCTCTCCCTCCTCCCCTTTCTTCTCCTCCCCTCCCTCCCTCCTCTCTGTCTTCCCCTTTGTGTCTCTAAGATATCCATGTAAGATTCATTCTCAGTAAATTTTCAGTTTTAGAACTGAACTTCAAGAGACTCTCAGTGTTTGATTCAAAACCCCAAGTGTTGTAGATGGTGGAGTTAGACCTTAGCTTCCAGCACGACTACACAGTAAATTGACTAACTGTAACTCTGACCTACAAAATAAATTATTATTCAATCTTATAGAGCTTTGATAACAGAGCTGTTGCAGGCTTTCAGTGGATGCCAATACTAATTTCTATAAATAGAAGGACATATTGATATTTCCCAGAGAATGGTAGTTCTTACACTTCCAGTAATTTATACACCTCCAAATTGGGGTAATCTTTCCTTAATGATACATAACACAGCCTTGGATTCTGTTAAACTCCATGAATTGTCAGGATCAGCCATATTGCTTTATCTTTATTAC